TGTAGTTAACTTATAACTGGCCTCTACCATTCTCTCATTAATTTAAAAAAAATAACTTGCTAAGCCCCTAATATGTGCCACTGCTGAGAACTAAATTAGATGAAAGAATGAATAGAAGCCAGAGAAATATTCTCTTATTTTATTTGGCCATGCTGCACAGCATGTGGAATCTTAGTTCCCAGAGCAGATATCTAACCTGTGTCCCCTGCATTGGGAGCATGGCATCTTTACCACTGAACTACCAGGAAGTCCCAGAAAAATGTTCTTTAGATGAACATTACTGACAGGAAGCCAGCCCTTATCACCTCTATGTATTTGACCCTAGAGATGTTACAGACTTTCATTTTGAAAATCATTCTTACAGAATGGCCTAAGTGGGATGTTGATACTTTGGTTTTGCTTATTTCAATTGTTCAGTTGCTAAGTCATGGCCAACTCTGCAATTTAGACCTATGCTTTTAGTCCATCTGTGTTGCTAGGTATACTTCTAATGTGCTTTCATCACATGTTACCTATCCATTCCTCTAGGGATGGAAACTTTGAATGCTTCTAATTCTTTACCATCAAAGATGAAGCTTCAGAATACATGTTGGTTTTCCAGAGATTTTCTCTGTTACATAAACCCAAGAGTAGAATTGCTGGATCCTGAGATGTGCGGATAGTCTAGCTAAGTAGTGCTGCCAGATTGCTCTTAAGAAAGGTTAGCCCAGTCTATAATCCCACCAATAGTGCTGGTTTCTAAAGGAATTCCTTTAGTCCCCTCACTAACACCTGGCATTATCCATCTTCCTAATTTTTACCAAAATAATAGAATAATGTGATTATCTCTTTACTCACATAGACTTAATGGCCTGTGGATTTTTTTCTTCTGTAAACTGGGTATTTTTGTCCCTTGCCCATGTCTTTATTGAGATTGCTACTTTTGTTGTTGATTTGTAATTAACTTTTTTCTTGATGTCTTTACTTCAGTCCAGAAAGGATTAATTTTGATGTGATTGAACTCATCATAGTTGGTCTTGTGCTTTATGTTTTGTTTTTTTTTAAGAAGTCCTCTGCTCCTGATTCACAAAGATAACTCTCCTGCATTATATTTAGTGACTATATAGTCTTATACTTCTCACTTAGATCTTTAATCTATCATGAGTCCTCCTTTGTATGTGGCATTATATAGGTAGCTTTTATTTTTCTTCATATAATGAGCCAGATTTATCATTATTATGTGCTAGATGGATTCATCCCCCCTTGATTTATGTGCTAACTTTATATTACATTCTAAAATTTTATGTGGCTCTATTTCTGAGCTTTGTTCCACTGGACTGTTTGTTCTTATACTCCACCAGAGAAGCCCTGTTCTTATACTAACTCTACCTTATTTTAATTTCTGTGGCTTCTCTAATATGTGTTAATATCCTGTAAGCCAAGAACTTCCTTTACTCTTCTGTTTAAATAGTTGGTTTAGCTATATATGGAATTTTATTCTTAACATATGAAGATTGTATGAGTTAATTTGGAAAAAAGTTATCTTTGTAGTATTCATTTGTTCCATCCAAGAGCATGGAATGTCTATTTTAAATTATGTTTCCTTGATTAGAATTTTACAGTTTTCTTTGTAGAGGTCTTGCATATTATTGATTAGTTCTTAAATCCTTCGTAGGTTTGGTCTGAGTTGTTTTTTTTTTCCTTTATTGTGAAAGTGTTTATGTAATATATTTTATGGTCCATATTGCTGGTATAGAAGTTAAGAGTGCCTGTGGTCAAGTCTTACCATTTTGTAGATACAGGACCCTCGACAGGTAGCTTAAACCTCATGTATAAAATGGGGATGGGGAATACATGTAAATCCATGGCTAATTCATTTCAATGTATGACAAAACCCACTGCAATGATGTAATGATTTACTAGTTGGAGAACTAGTAAAAATAAATGGAAAAAAAAAAATGGGGACAATAAAAGTACCTATCTTACAGGATTGTTAGAATTTCAATGAGTAGTGTTTGTGCAATTCCTAGAATAGTATTTGGCAAATAGTAAGTGCTATGTAAATAAGTTAATGAATATTCATAGGTTAATGTGTGAATTGGAAAAAAGATTCAGGAACCTAGTTGAGCTTTTTTGGTAGCTCTAATACTTTATATTTTAGGGTTTTTTTTTAAATTTGGATGACCATATCATCTGTAAAATAGTAGTTTTATTTTTTTACAGTTCTCACCCTTTAAAAAAAAAAACAATAATAATGTTGACTAGGACTTTGGTACTTTGTTACACAGTATCAGTATCACCCTTATGTAATTCATTTTTAAAGAGAATGTATCTAAATTTCTCATTTAGGATAATATTTGCTGAAAGTTTTTGGTAGATAAGTTTTACCATGATGAGAAAGTAGCTTTCTCTTCCAATTTGGTTAAAGTGTTTTGTTTTTTTAAGTCATAAATAGGTGTTGGTCAAAAACTAAGAAGAGTTAAATTTCCACAATTGATAAAATTATCCAATTTTTTCTGTTTTATTACTATAGTGATTTATATTTATAAATTTATGAAACTGAGATGTTCTTGCTTTCAAGCTCTACATGATTATGACATTCTTTTTTTCTTTATTACACTATTACATTCCATTAGGTAGTATTTGAAATTTTTGCAAATAAAATGAGCCTATAGCTTTCTTATATGCTTCATCTCTAGATTTAATTAATGTTTTATTATCATCATGAAAGAAGCTAATCAGTTTTATGCTTTTTTGCTTTTTTCTGAAACAGTTAATATAAAATATGTATTCGTTTTCTTGCAAGTTTAATGGAACTCATAATCTTATGAGAATGGTGTTTTTAATAGGCGGTTATTACTTTTCCACTTTCTTTAATACTGGTCTGTTTTATTCAAGTTATCTATTTCTTCCTATATGAATTTTAGTATTTTATATTCTTCTAGAATTTAGCCAGTTTATCTAGGTTTTCACATGTTAGCATATGTTTTTACTTTTAATCTTTTTTGGAGTATTTTTAAATCTCTTTCTTGATAAGTCTCACTAGTTTTGTTTTTCTTATTCATATTTTCAGAAAACTGTTTTTCAGTTTTATCAATCTATTTTTCTGTTATATACTGTTTAATTTCTGCCTTTATTATTTCTTTTCTGCTTATTTTGCTGTTGCTTTTTTCTGTTATTTTGAATCCCTAACATGGGGGTATTTAAACTTCCTTATTTCTTCACAAGTGTATTCAAAGCTATGAATTTCTTCTAGGTACTGGTTTGGCCATGCCCCACAAATTTTGCCTTGTATGGTTATATTACCATTCAATCTTATATTTAATGTATTTTATGATATCCATTTTACTAATCCATGAGTTATTGGGTTTCCTAACCTATGATTACTTTTAACATCTACTTTTATTGCATTATGGTCAGAAAATTTAGTCTAAATGAAGTTCACCCTTTGGAATCTAGTTATGCTTTATAACTTAATGCATGAAATATTTCTGTGTTTGTGTTTTATAGTTCCTAGAGCATATTAATACTTTTAACTGTTTCAGAATGCTTATATCTTTGCTTATATTCCCCCCTCAGTTCTATTAGTCATTACCTGAGGAACTTTAAGGATGTGCTTTTAGGTTCATAGACATTTATAATGAGTATATCACTTTTATTCTTTCACTTTTGCCTGTATTATAACATCCATCTTTGTTCCTTATATTTTCTGGTTTGAAATCTTTTTTTGTTGGGTATTAAGATTGCTATCTGAGCTTTATTCTGGTCCACAGTTACCTGGTAACATCTTTGTTCATATTTCTGGTTTTGACCTTTGTGGGTCTTTTTGCTTTAAAGTATGTTACTGAATCTTATTTGTTTTGTTAATTCATTCTGAGTGTCTGTCTTTTAATTATGAATTTAAGCAGTTTATAATCATTGTAATTCCTGCTATATTAAGATTTATGCCTGCCATGATCTGTAGAGTATAGTCATAGGACCTCAACCTCTGGGTTCCAGCAAGAGTTCTAATATCTAGAAACTACAATGAGGACAGGTCTCCTAAAATTAATGCCAAGAAGCACCTCTAAAGATAAAAAGATACCTTTTACAGCTCCCTATTTGGAGTTTGGAGCATAAGGCATCTGCTTTGGCAGATCCCTGGTCTAGAACTGCATAATAAAAAACAAACTGGCCCAGGTATGTACCAACAAAGGATTAAAGTGGCCCCAGGCTCTCTTTGCCAATTTTGTCATGGTAGGAGCCAGTCCCAGTTGGAGAATCTGCCTGTTTATGTGCTGGAGATGGGAAAGCCAAGAAGCCTTCTTGCTTAGCATCAGTGTGCTTGGATACTCTAAGTTAGATGGATAATATTGTTACCCAGTGCTTTCAAGCTTTAATATCATGTCTCAAGTCTTCTCATTCACAGGTTAAGACTACCTTTGCAGATGGTCCAGCAACTAAGTCGCCAGTTTCCAAGGACATTTGCATCATCTATGGAAAACATCGGATCATTGCACACCAGACAGATCCTTGACAACTCATCCCACCATCCCCCTGCAGAAAAGTTAACTGCACCAGCCAACAAAGAAGGCAACCACTGAGTTTCTTTTCATTACCAAATAGATACGATATCTCTGCCAACAAAAAAGAGTACACAAAGTGTCTCCTCATGAAATTGCAACCAGTTGAGACCATGCTTAGCAAATCAGCTTGTCTATACGATGACCTCTTCTTTTCTTCAGTAGCCAGGATTTGAAGGAGAGACTCTGACCTGTGCCACCGGTAAGTGACTAACTTTTACACACTGAACTGGTGCTGAGAACTGAGCTGTCTTCTTTGTAAGTGAAGAATATACAACATAATCTTGAAGAACTGTACAGTGTTGCAAGCCAGAGGCATACTATAACAGACTGAGATACAAGTGAATCTTACTGAAACAGCTTCTCATCTTTTGCTTTATTTGCCAGTGTTAGTGTTTTGCTGGCTTAGATTGTTACCTTTTCCTGGTATCTTTTTTCCTATACTGTTGGTCTATTTTAATGGGTCCTAGAAATCCCTCTCCTGATCCCTTATCAGAATCAGAAAGTGAGGAAGAAGAAAACACTACCTACCTAAATGAGAGTTCTGGGGAAGAGTGGGATTCCTCTGAAGAAGAGGACCCTGTGGTGCCCAACCTAACACCTCTTGAGAGTCTTGCCTGGCAGGTTAAGTGCCTTTTAAAATATTCTACAACTTGGAAACCGTTAAATCCTAATTCCTGGTTATATCATGCTAAACTCCTGGATGCTAGCACACCAGTCCATATACTTCGAGAGATAGGTCTGAGACTCTCTCATTGCTCCCATTGTGTACCCAAACTGGAACCAATTCCTGAATGGCCTCCTCTGGCTTCTTGTGGAGTACCACCTTTTCAAAAGCCCCTTATAAGTCCCAGCCGGCTTTCTAGAGACCATGCCACTCTAAACGGACCACTGCAGTTTGCCACCAAACAGTTAAGCCGAACATTGAGTAGAGCCACCCCCATACCTGAATACCTAAAACAGATTCCTAATTCCTGTGTTTCTGGTTGTTGCTGTGGCTGGTTAACTAAAACAGTTAAGGAAACAACCCGCACTGAACCCATCAACACTACTTATTCCTACACTGACTTCCAAAAGGCAGTTAACAAACTCCTAACTGCATCATTATAAAAAACCCACCATTCATTCTCATCTCATGTTCCCACTTGAGAAAGGAACACAGTTACACAGCCCACAATTGAGAAACAAATGTCTTCTCAGCCAAACTATGCCCTGTCTTCAGAAGCCAAAGTACCATCAAGTACTAAATACATACCCCAAGAGTCCTGTAACTCAACTAGAGAAAATGTGCAGTGCAGGCATTCCCTTTGAAAGACCCTGTGGATAAGATAAGAACTTCAATAGAGAATTAGTTAAAAGGGACCTTTTTTATAGAAAAATAACTTGACTATTCTCCACACTCAGTTCTCCCCACAATTTACTCTGCCTGTCTAATGGACTTAACTAGATACCTAATTATTAATGGTAAGGAAAAGTAGGCCACTATCCCATTTGTTACCCAACCTTCAGAATAGCCATTGTGGAAACTGGTAAGTTAGCTAGTGCTAATAACACTTTTCTGAGCATACTTTTCTCTAGTACTCATTTTCGGAGAGGTTCTTGAATTAAATTTAATAACTGGACAAAAGAAAATGATAGGAATATGGATTTACCTCCCAGTTTTATATTGATAGTCCTACATAGGGCTCCCTTTAGGGGTTCCTATTTTGGGGGGAGAGAGTGCAGTGCAGCAGTGCTTAGTCACTTAGTTGTGTCTGACTCTGCAACCCCGTGGACTGTAACCCACTAATGCAGTAGTAGCCTACACTACTTCAGATGTATTATGGGACCTGCAGTTACAGCATACACATTTTATAGGCTCCCACCAGGCTGTCTCTAGATAAACTGGCTTGTTAAGATCGTGTGTGTGTGTGTGCTCAGTCTTGTTTGACTCTTTGCAACCCCATGGACTGTAGCCTGCAAGGTTCTTCTATCCATGGAATTTTCCATGCAAGAATACTGGAATAGGTTGCCATTTCCTACTCCAGGGAATCTTTCTGACCCAGAGATGAACCTGCATCTCTTGCGTCTCCTGCATTGGCAGGTGGATTCTTTACCACTGCGTCATGTGAGCAGCCTTGTAAGATCATACATGGAGTTAAAACAAACACTTGTTCTGTATGGAATATATTTCCTGCATCCTGGCATCTAGACTTTAGTTGGTAGCAAATAAAACACATTCCAAAAGACCAATGGGAAAGAATTAAAAGCATTTATGTTGGTAGATGAAAGTATTTTATCTATATGTTTCCTGGAGCAGTATTCATGCACTTTCCACATCTATTGCAAACTTTTTAGGAACCCTTCTAACTTTAAAGAACTTTACTGCAGAAAATCTCAGCCTAATACAATCTGAAGTGTTTCTGTGTCTAACTTTAGATTTTTTTTCTGGTTGAATATAAACCATACATACCCTTGCAAATGAGTCTTGCTGTGTCTAAACATAGAAATCAACATACATAAAATGTGTGAGACCAGTAAGTCTTTTCACACACCTACAATAAAGAGGAAATCTGTATGTGATCCTGATTGACTGGTCATCTAAAGGGAATCAGAAAATAGATTGTTCAAGATATATATATATATATATATATATATACATCCTTCCTTATTTTATTTTTGCTTTTTCCTGTTCTCCATAATTAAGTGCTGTATACAATGTGACATCAAAAAATGGAAGCATTAATGGAATCACAAATTCTATAAATGTATAGCAACTTTTGAGAAAGAAGAATGTTTCTAACCTAATGAGAAATTTCTACTGAACCTTAGTTGTTTCATCTTAAGGAAAAGGAGGGAATTATAGTGGGTAGAAAAAAAATATTTGTTAATGGAAAATTACTGAACTGAAACCATATAATGTTAGTGTAACTGAATGTAACAGTAACTGCTCCTATGTAGATGTTCTGTGCAATTGTTTTTTTTTTTTTAATGTTACAAAAACATGTTTCTATTTTTCAAAGGGGGAGGTGGGAAGAAGTAGGGAGATCTGAAAATTAAAATATGTTGATGTTTATGTAACAGTAATATGTTCCTTTTTCTGTGTGTGTGCATGCGTGTGTGTGTGTAAAAGTGCCTTGTTCATGAATACATCTTTGCTGTTCATTCCAAAAGGAAGCCTTTTCCCAGCTTCCCAGCTGAATAAAGCAATAGCTTTGTACATGCTGAACAGAGTATGGTTATTTGTTCCTAACAAAATGAAATAGATTCTACCATGCTTAAGGCATATTCATCATTCACTAAGTGGTAAATAGAGTCCATAGAGATACAGTGGATCTCATAGGAGGTGACTTGGCTGCCCTAGGAAGGAAACATAATTGAAGAAAGTGTTAGATATTCAGTCCAGACTTAGGTTTGAACCCGTTTGTTTGTATATATTAAGTAGTTTCAGGTTGCATAAAATGATAGGTACCTGAGTAAGCCTTAAGACTTTACTTCTGTTTGTGTGTCATGAGTAGGGGTCAGTTTACTACTTTCACACACTCTCTCCATGGACCTTGGTTAAATTCAGTCATCATAATTAGGATTAAGAAGGATGAGTTTTTTCTCTATTTATTGAAATATTTATCAACGAGGTAGGAAAAGGGATTTCTAAACCAATAGACATCAGTGTTATTTAAAGGTATTATTCTTTCTTGGTGCAAATAGTCTCTTTTTGTTGAAGCAGTCCAGAAAGCTTGAGCCCAGAAGACCATAATCATGCTTTTTAAGCCAGTCAGCTTCCTAACGGAAGGAAGAAATCTAGACATGGCAGGAAGAGGGTAGATGTTAGGTCACCTTTAGGCAATTATCTTGTGGGACTCCTATCACAACTGTCCATCTAAAAGATGAAAATAGTGTTTTGATACTAGAGTCGATTCCTAAAGCAATTAGGACTTTAGTTCGAGTCACTTGGGTTGTTTGCTCCCTTTCTCTTACATCTCTAACAGATGATTTTCTTTTCTTGGCTCCATTGTTAGAGAACTCAACATCTTTTGGAGCAGCCCATTAGTTTTAAATAGAGATATAGTTGTTCATCTAATAATATTATGGAGTGCCTACTATAGTTCAAGATACTGGGAGTACAAAATTAAGATATATAGGAAGTTAGTTTCAAAATGTATTGAACCAATGTGAATTACCCCAAGGCTTTTGGCTATTCGTGCTTACTTACTGTGAGCTAGGGTCAGGTTCACAGTAAATAAGCTTACTTCTTACACTGGCCAGTGATTATTTGAAAATGAGACAGCCATCCAAGCATAGTGGAAATTCACATGGAGAGCACACCCCAACAATTAAACCCCACAGAGGTAGTCAGATAAGGGGATACATAAAATAAATAGGTATCTTATACACGGATTTAAATTGTATATACTAAATTCACAAGGCAATGGCACACAAAAATCAAGACCTGAAGTGTTTTGCTCATATGACTGAGGTATATATAAAGGCCCAGAAAGTCTGGACTTCTCAGACTTCATGAGACAACTTTGTACAAGCCTCTTCCTTAATATAAGTCTACAAATAAGTAGTATCCGTTGTACTGAGGGAAATTGAAGGAGCTGCACTGACACCAACCACCAGGTATTGTGTCTACTTGGCTGTTATCAAAGGAAAGTATGGTGTATCTTTGCCAGTTTTGGAACAAGTTTAGTTAGTGGCTATATGTTTGAGTCTGATCCTTGTATAAGTCTTCCAATCTGTTTCTATTGGTGGCAGCAGTGGGATTATGTACTGTACAATTTTTGGAAGCGAGACTAAGGAAGGAATATCACAGTGATGTGATCTTCCGAGTTTTTCTTGGCTGGAAGAGGTGTGACCAGCCCTGAATTTTCAATAAGGTATGGAAAAGGAAGACTTGATTTAAAAATAATAGTAGAGTTCCCTGGTAGTCTGGTGGTTAGGATTTGTCGCTTTCACTGCTGTGACCCAGGTTCAATCCCTGGAGAACTGAGATCCCACAAGCTTCAGGGTGTGGCCAAGATTAAAAAAAAAAAAGGATGATAATTTAAAATAACAGTGTAGCAGGCAGACAGTACTAGATTTGTTGCTTCTAAACTGTGGAGTCAGTTTAAAATGTTAACCTCCCCAGTGAAGACCCACTCTCAGATGACTAGAAATAAACATTTCATTTTTAATGTCAATTCTGAACTTAGTCACTTTTTTTCCAGCCCACACATGACATGAAATAATCCATTTAGTTCCAAGAGAATTTTGTTAATATTCTAAAATATTCAAAAATGAACTATTTTGTGACATAAAAATCCTCCCTTTCTGCTCACATCTTCACTAATATAAAAACCCCTTAATATTATGCATAAATACAAAAATGATACCTTACCCTATCTCATCAACCATGTTCAGGGCTTAGGTTGAATCAGAACAGGGCTACAGCAATGAGCATCAGAACTGAGGCAGAAGGGTGTTGATAAAACCAGTCCTCTACCTCATCTAAAACCTAAAGACTGGCTTTTGCTTTTTTTTCCTACGTGTGGAGCATAGACCACTGTGAGGAACCTCTCCCCACATCCCCTGCAGCTTCTGCCTGTGGTTGATCATTGCTTGCTTCTCATCAACACCAGCTCATAAACCTGAAAGTGACCTTCAACAGCCAGGCCATATTTACCACATTCATAACTTTATGATTTTGAATGATTCTTTTTTAATCCTATAGCACCCATTGAAATGACACTATGGAAAGATACTTTGAGATAATTTCCAGAGATGAGAAATCTGAAGATGAGAAAAATTAAGTTACTTTTCCAATTCTGTACAAAATATTTCATAATGCATTTAAAACACAGTGTGTATAAAATTGTACAATAAACAATTCAAACTCTCAAAAAATAAAATGTTAACAACAGCTTAGTGTTGGAGCATAAAACAGTAAGTTGTCTGGAATTCAAGAAGTTTATTTGGGAAAAAATATATGCACCTGAAACATGATATGGAAATTATTGAAAATATTTGGAAAGTTATGCTCTATTTCCTAGAGTAGGACATAACCAGTATTCATCAAGGAGATAGGATTCCAGTCAGCCTAACAAGCTTGTTTACTGAGTTCCTAGTATACACAGAAACTGAGCTGGTGT